ACCTTCAGTTATACAAGACACACCTATGTCTTGTGTTGTAAAGAGCTCAAGTGACTTACTTAGGCAACACATGGCACAACTTGAAGCAACCCCAGTGCTCCAGTCTGTGATGTCATAAGCCGCACAATAAAATTTTTGTGAGTCCTTAGTGATGTGATTGAGTAAGGGCTGGGGGAGATGGCTCAGTTGAGAACCCTCCCCTAAAGTTGTTGGGGTAACTCAGGGACTCTCGCTACAGTGTGCTGCTTGCTTCTGGCTGCCCCCAGTACTTGAAGGGAAGACCTTATTGCTGAGGATATTCACACATTGGTCACAGGGCATGTGAAAAGCAACCTGAACTGACCGGGAAGCTTCCTGCTGGCTAGCTCTTGGCACTGGAAGCTACTATGCAGTCTGCTGCAGCAGAGTTAACAGTCTTAGCTGGCAGTGGACTGAAAGGCCTGGCCTGGCAGGAAGTGCCCATGGGTGTGATCGTGACAAAGTGTGGGGAGTAACCACACTATGATCGAGGAAACACGTGCCTGGGTGCAGCAAATCCAACAAGAACCTACGGCCGGGAAGCTCACTGGCCGGGGTAAAGGCAGCGTCAAGCTCCCTTTAAATTCCCCTCTATCCATAGGTTAGTGTGGTGCTCGGACCTTAGCAGGGAAGTGGTTTGTACAGAGGGTGATGGTTAACAAACTCACAAGTGGTCAGCATGCAGAGACAAGTGATGTAGAGTGCTCAGCTACAAATGAAACTTCTGTGCTACTCCCCCTTCCCAAGACTCAGCTACTGTCGTGGAAGACAGTTTGTAAGAGCCACATTTGGAAAGGACTGGAAACGGTCTTAACAGCTGTGGCAGGGCCAGTGCGGTTGGGAACTCACCACAGCTCTGCTGTCTGTGTGAGATGAAAGCAGTCAACAACAGTCCAGCATGGAGTGGAAACCATCACCCCACGCCCCTAAACTCAGGGACCTCGGGCAGTTGGTTGCTTCTGGGAGAGAGTGTGTTAAGTTGCTGGTAAGCTGACCATGTTCCAGTAGATGCCTAACACTCAGCAGTATATGAATCGCACAAACTGGAGTCAGGTTATTAAAGTTTAAAAACCTCCGACAAGGTCAGAAGAGTAAGACAGGAACTGCCCCAGACATCACAGTGGAAGGACATGTGAATGGACCCTCTTGCCAGAAAACACATTGAACAGCTGGGTGTGGTGACACATCAGTAATTAGGAGGCGGAGACAGAAAGATCTGCCAGCCTGGTCTCCACGACCCCCCCCCCCCCCACACACACACACACACTCCTAATGAACATTTAGGGAAACCTGATGTCTAAGATTAGGTGCCTGAACTATATAAACTATCTCTCCTGAGGCTGACAGTCACACCAGAGGGATGAGGTCAAGGCTGTAAGATGTACCACAGGAGGGCCTAGAGATATGGTTCAGTGGGTAAGGGCTCATACAAGCCTGATGTCAGAGTCAACCTCCCAAACAGGAGGGCCTAGAGATATGGTTCAGTGGGTAAGGGCTCATACAAGCCTGAACCTCCCAAACAGGAGGGCCTAGAGATACGGTTCAGTGGGCAAGGGCTCATACAAGCCTGCTGTCAGAGTTAACCTCCCAAAACCCACATAATGTAAAGACAGAACCGACCTCACAAAGTTGTCTTCTGACTGACTTTGTGTGTACTGTGGCTCATGTGCCCACAAACACTGCACATGTGTGCGAGCACACAGAATAAAAACAAAAAGCCTCACCAGGTATGGTGGCACATGGCTTTAATCCCAGCACTCAAAGGCAGCCTCAGAGGCTGTTAGATCTCTGAGTTTGAGCCAGCCTGGTCTATGCAGGAGTTCTAGACCAGGCAGAGTAACATGGTGAGATCCTATCTCAAAACAAAAACCCATACACATGTATATAATGGAGCATCAGATTGGCAATTTGCAAGTGGTCCTGGAAATGTTTACTCCTGAACTTACAGATAATTCAATGAAATCTGTATTTTTCCTTGGTGACGGGACAGAACCAGAAGTTAATTAAACCCTCTCTCATTCATGCAGAACACTGCATTTCTCTCTACCTCCTGAGAGGTAGAAGCACCAGGGAACTAAAGCTCTGCTAGCCAAGTCCTACCCCAGAGACTACACTTTAGTGGTACGCTTCAGGTCATTCCAAAGTGCAGCTAAATTAAAGACCTATGGACTAAGGAATTTACTAGTCTGTTTTAGTTTCTTATTGCTGCTATAAAAAGTTAATCAAAAAGGTAGTGACTTGGGGTGTAAATGTTACACACCAGCTCAGCATGGGTCTCACTGGGCTAAAATCAAAGCAGCCGTGGGCCCTCATATCTGGAGGCTAGATCATCACTCTTCCAGGGGCCACTTGCTTTTCTTGGCTCCAGTCCTCTGTCCTCCACTGTAAGTCAGTATCATTAGGTCTCCCCCTGTTCCACTTGGAAAACCCAACAGTCTCCCTATTTATTTTTAAATGATTACTTACTTCCGTGTGCATGTATGCCACAGCACATGCGGAAGGCAGAGACAACTAATGGGAATTGGTTTCCTTCCACCATGAGGATCCCAGAAGTGAACTCAGGTCATCAGGCTGGGCAGCTGGTACCTTTGCCTGCTGAGGCAAGACAGGTGGCCAGCCAGCCAGCTGCCCCTAGTTCTACCATCAGCAACCTCAGTGCCATCCACAATTTTAATTCCTGTTTGCTAGCTGACGTAGTAGTGGTGGAAGTGGTGGAAGTGCTGCTGGAAGCCGAATGCAGCACAAATGAGGCAAACTTGGCGTGAGCTCAGGAAGACTATTGTGTTTGTTAGGCCTGTTAGTCGCGGATACATACAGGTTTTGGGGGGCTAGGATGCAGACGTCTTGAGAGGATTACTGTTCTGCCTACCATGGAGATTTTTCTCTTTGTTGGTTACAACTGCTAATTAGCTCTGCACACATTAAAGCATTTGATCATTTATACGGTGACTATTAACTAGCATGTCTTAATTGTCTTCAACAGTTTACAGTGAGTTAGTAGCCCTAATAAGTTAGGGTTTTATAGTTTTATCCCTCTTAAGTTTGAGCCTTTAAAATCTGAGTTAAAGATCCTTCAGCATCAAAAGAAACCATCAATGCAGTTAACTTTAGTCCATAGGAAACTGGTAGCTTGAGCTGGTTACAGTGTTGCATGCCTATAATCCCAGCACTCGGGAAGCAGAGACAGGTGGATCTCTAGTTCAAAGCCAGCCCAGTCTACAGTGAGTCCAGGTCAGACAAGGCTACACAGAGAAACCCTGTCTCAAAAAACATATCTTTTATAGTGTGCCATTATAGAATATCATAGTATTTTGTATGACTCAGTTTATACAAATAACTAAAGGCTGAGCAAAGACAAAGAAGCTAGACAAATATTACTGTTGTGTCTGGGGCACAGCTGTCAGCTCTCAGATGAAGAACAGAAAAAGGAGAGCAGCGATTCTGATTTGGCAGTGAGAAGCCAGGAGAGCATAGCCTGACTTAATAATCTCGCTTTTTCTATACAGTCTGAAGGAGTGAAAAGTAAAAGTACAGCGCAGGAGGCCACACACAGGAAAGCTCCCCAGAAGCACACGGGGTCTTCAGGGAACAAGTAGTGGGAAATAGCATTTCAAGTGGGTTATCAGAGTGAGATTTAATAGCGATGTGGGATCCCCTTCCCACAGGAAAGGCCTCAAGTGACCAATCAATGCCTGAGCACTTGGAAGCAAAGATCATCACTCACAGCAAAGAGTGGTGGCAAAGCTTAGACTACACCTTCCAAATAGTCGGCAAGATGGGGGGAGGGGTGTGTGTGCTTTCTCCTAGGCTTTCCATCCCAAATTCAAACCCCAAATTATGCATGGTAAACCAGTTTAGTAGATAGTAACCAAAGCCACCCCTGGCAAATTCCAACACAGAATAAAAAGGTCTTTCCATCTTACAGAAATTTGCTTGGAGTTTCACTAACATAAACATGGTGGCTGATTTTGAGCCGCTGCCCTCCTCCGCAGTTTGTTTCTCCAGGAGAATGTCTAAAGAAGAAAAACTCCTCGCACACAAAAACTTTGTAATACTCAAATACCAATACTAAGTTCAAATTATTATTTTTTTTGAGTCAAGGTCTAGGCTGCCCAGGCTCAGGTGACCCTCTCACTCCAGACTCTCAGGTAACGGGGACTCAGGATAGCGCTGTGTCCAGCAGCGTCTCTCTCCTTCAAACATGGTGCACAGACTTTATTTACTGGGACCCATAGACAGGCACAGAGATCACAGAACAGTCCTCAGTGAGGAACAGACTGCACTCATGGCCTACGATGTCCTTCCCAGAAATCTAGATTCAGGGTTAAGAGAGTGGCTCAGGAGCATACAGCCCAGTTATTCAACCATTAACAGGGCAAAAACAAAAACATCAAGATCCAAGCAAGGTTTAAATATTGCCATTCCTTTCATCCTTTAAAATCCCCCCTGCTAGCTGGGCATGGTAGTGCATGCCTTTAGTCCTGATACTGGGGGAGTGGGGGCGGCAGAGGCAGGTGGATCACTGTGAGTTTGAGACCAGCCTTGTCTACAAAGCAAGGCCTGGACAGCAAAAAGGCTACACAGAGAAACCCTGTATCAAAAAACAAAACATAGGGGCTGGAGAGATGGCTCAGAGGTTAAGAGCACTGACTGCTCTTCCAAAGGTTCTGAGTTCAATTCCCAGCAACCACATGGTGGCTCACAACCATCCATAATGATATCTGGTGCCTCTTCTGTCATGCAGGTGTACATGCAGGCGGAAACTCTGTATACATAATAAATAAATGAATCTTAAAAAAAAAAAAAGAACAACAAAAACCCTTAATCTTCTCTGCCTATTTGTAGAAGTTAAATTTGTATATTAAAATTTGTATATTAAATTAAAATAAAAACCTAACAGCTCCATATTGGTCAAGCCAGTATTAAGAGACAGGTGCTCGCAATATAAAAAAGAAATCTATAGACATAAGACCAGCCACCAATGGGAGGAGCCAATGCAATGGCTAGTCTTTATTAGAGAGAAACATTCTGAAAGGCTAATGCAGGCGCTCAGTGAGCCAGTTGGTGGGGCACCAGCTTGTAGTGGGTTCCGCAGTTTGGGCATCGCTGACTCTCGCCTTTGTGCAGCCAAAACCAGATGACAGTGCAGTTGTCCTCCTCACCTGAAAGGGGAAAGGCAGCTGAAAGTCACCCAGCCCCAGTGTACGCTGGAAAACTTTTAGCACTCGTCTCTTCCCTGCACACACTTCCGAGACAGAAAGAAAACACGGGAGACTCTAAGAGCTCTGCTCTTTCAAATGAAAAAATGGCGCTGAGTTTATCTGTGATTGAAATAACCTTCTATCCGGGTCACTGTGGGTTCTAACAATTCCAGTCCCGACACAGAATTCCATAGCAGGATCTGTACTAATTTGTACCCCTAGTGCCTGAACCAGTGCCTGGCATACAAGTTATATATATGATATATATCACACACATATATATAATATATATTATATATAACATGTTTATATATAATATATATATTATATATATATAATCTGGGCTGGAAAGATGGTTCAGCAATTAAGAGCATAGACTGCTCTTCCAGAGGACCTGAGTTCACATCCCAGTACCCACATCAGGTGGCCCACAACCTTGCCTGTAACTACAGCTCTGGGGGCATCTGACTCCTGTGGCTTGTCTTGCCTATTGAGATATTGAGATTTGAGACAGTCAGAACCCTTACAACAAGTTAGACACATATTTTTATGCACATATAGTCAGATACATATACATATCTGAAGCAATTTATAGTGTAGTAGGTTATAAACAAATGGGCCAGAAAATAAAGGCAAGGTACTTACAGATGCAGCCCACTATCCGCTTGTTGGTGATGGAGGGGACTAAATTAGGGTCGTCCTTGGTACCCGAAGCTGCCTTTGGAGGCAGCATATTGTATGGATCCTGAAAAAGACAAGAGCTGACTAATTATGACAGGTAACTCTGCCACCGCACTGCAAAGGGACTGTTCCTGCAAGCTGGGTTCAGGACCAAATGCTGGCCGACAAGGAGACTCCTCCAATCCCATCCAAGTTCAAAGAGTTTCTCCTCACCAGTCCCTTCTGTGCAGCTAACATGATTTCCCTCTCCAGCCCGGTAGCCTGCTCCTCATCAGTAGGAACACCCCCTATAAGAAGAAAAGTCAATTATGTCAACTGAAATGACGCGATGAACACATGATCAACACTGGAAAGGTGACGCTGGAAGCTACTTTGGTGGGTTCCCACGCTACCCGTTTTCTGACTCCCAAAACTGTAGCGGTTTTCCCCTCCAAGCGCGGAAGCTTGGTTTTCGACTTCTTTCCAAAATCTGGTCAATGAGAGTATATTGGCTGGAGGTGGGCAAAGAATCTGAAAGTCGGTCCAGCACTCTCTCATCCCAATAGCCCCTGTCTCCCAAGGTCACCCGGCACCTTCCAGTTAGGGCACTTTAAAAGCGGGGTCAACCCGGTGGGCGGCCGAAATTGGAGCAAGACTACGAGGAGCGGCGGTTCCCGAAGCCTGAGGTGGTCAGCAGAGCCCGAGGGAGCTCAATGGCCGACCCCGCTCGACCGCCCCATCACCAACAACCCCGGAGGCCAGGGACACAGGCCTGGCGCGCCCCGCTGCCCACGTACCTCCATAAGCCATGGAGCGCGTCGCAGCCACGCCACCGGGCCCGTGGGCCCTCAGGGCCTGCGCCGCCAGAGCGCCTACTCCGCGAAGTAACCTTGAAGCCATCTCGCCCGAGACCAACAGATGCACTTCCGGGAGAGGGCTCGGCAAGACAGGCGGGACTTCCGGTGATGGCGGGCTATCAACGCCCAGTCAGACTTCCGCTTCCTTCTCCCCAGCCCGCCCGCCCGCCCGACGGCCCCGGAGCAGGTGCTGCACATGCGCAGCTCTGCCGCTCCGTCGCCCGCGCAGACTCCCGCAGTGTCGGGGGCGTGGCGCCAGTCACCGTAACGGCTAGCGGCTTTCGGGCTTGTAGCGGCTCCGCTTGCGAGCTCGCGCCCCGGAGTCCCGGTCACGTAGTAGTTCTCGTGGTGGAAGCCGAATGCAGCACAAATGAGGCAAACTTGGGCGTGAGCTCAGGAAGACTATTGTGTTTGTTAGGCCTGCTAGTCGCGGGTTCGGGTAGCCGTCAGCGACTTGTTGCACCCTGTCAGAATTTGGCAATACCCCCCCCCCCAACACACACAGTCTTAGCCTCAATTCCCCCTCTGCCCCGTGTGTGTGTGTTTTAAGCTTGGTGTCACTGTGTAGCCCTGGCTGACCTGGAACTCGCTATGATGTCAGGCTGGTCTGGAGCTCAGAGACCTGCCTACCTCTGCTGACTAAAGGCGTGCCCCACCCTCAATTTCCTCTTATATTAAAGTCATGGGAAGGAAGGAAGGAAGGAAGGAAGGAAGGAAGGAAGGAAGGAAGGA